ATGAATGAAACTCTGTCTCAAAAAAAAAAAAAAAAAAAATTAGCTAGGCGTGGTGGTGCACATCCATAATCCCAACTACTCAGAAGTCTGAGGCAGGAGAATTGCTTGAACCTGGGAGGCGGAGGTTGCAGTGAGCCAAGATTGTGCCACTGCACTCCAGCAAAGGTGACAGAGAGAGATTCTGTCTCAAAAAAAAGAACAAAAAAAAGAGCTTTTTATGGAAGGGGACTTCCAACCAAACCATCAGTTCTCTTCTGGTCTAATCACTATGCACACTTTATGCCAGAGAGAATGTGAGTGAGTGTGTGTGTGTGTGTGTGTGTGTGTGTGCAGCATTTCCTTTGTGGAAGGTACATTGCTAAGAGTTTTATGTGCTTTATCTCTGTTGATCTTCATAAGACCCTATGACCTAGATGGAATTATTACCTCAATTTTACTGATAAGAAAACGGAGGTTTAGTGTTATATTACCTATTTCCTTGTTTCTGAGATTCTGTTGAATAAGAGATGTATTAGTGACAGCTTTTGTGGGGAGAAGAAGACTACAAAATTAAACATACATACCGATTTTAACAAACATTTCAAAAGAGTGTAAATGTGAAATAGAGGATATGTGTGTAATTGTCTCCATTTTACAGATAGGGAAACAAAAGACTAAGGTTAAATTACTGCAGAAGATGATATCAAAGACTGTCTTCCTAATCTATGTATTATACTGACTCTCACTGTGTGTGAAATTGTGATGACACTTTGTGATTAATAGTTGAGGAAGGCCGGGCATGGTGGCATTCCTAGACTATTATATGTATAATAGTCTATCATAGATTATTATATGTAACACTTCCTACCCCTTCTATAGTCAATCACTTGCTACTAGTTGATAATTCTCTTTATTAAAATTTTCAAATTACTGTGTTTTCTGTCTCCTGACTGGACCTGACCTACTGTATCATTGGGAACAAGATGAAATAAACTAGAATATTGTGCAAAAATTAAAAAGAATAACTTAGACTAGGCACAGTGGCTCACGCCTGTAATCTCAGCATTTTGGGAGGCTGAGGCAAAAGGCTCATTTGAGCCCAGGGGTTCGAGACCTGCCTGGTCAACATGGCAAGACCCTGCCTTTACAAAATAAAAATAAAAATTAGCCAGGCACGGTGGTGCCTGGGTCTACACTTGTAGACCCAGCTACTTGGGAGGCTGAGGTGGAAGGATCGCTTGAGACCAGGAGTTCAAGGCTGCAGTGATCTGACTGTGCCAGTGCACTCCAGCCTTGACAACAGAGTAAGACTGTCTCCAAAAAGAACAGTCACTTCTGCTTATGAAGGATCAACTGCTACAGAAATTACTTCTCTTCATAAATAGAAAATTGCACAAAACATGAAATAATTGTTTTCAGATATTATACAAGAGACAGAACAAAATTATGTACTTTGAGAGAAAGGAGACCAATGAAGGTGAGTCCTACAGTTGCTCAAGCCAGGAGGCAGTTTCCAGACTGTCACACAGAGAGGGATTACCCAACAGAGTTTCAGAGTTAAAGAGAAAGATGGCAAAGTACAGCAGAGGCCAGCGTCAAGAATTTGCAGGATGGAGTACTAAGAAGACGAAGCTCCGTGGAGAAAGCTCTGTAGGTTTCTATGGGGGCCCTTATGAGTCTTTGGCTGAGTTCCATCTGCACATATAAGGGATAAAACTCTTCCAGGTGTGATGGCTCATGCCTGTAATCCCAGCACTTTGGGAGGCTGAGGCAGGTGGATTACCTGAGGTCAGGAGTTTGAGACCAGCCTGGCCAATATGGCGAAACCCTGTTTCTACTAAAAATACAAAAATAGACTGGGCATTGTGGCTCATGCCTGTAATCCCAGCTACTGGGGGGCTGAGGCAGGAGAATCCCTTGAACCTGTGAGGCAGAGGTTGCAGTGAGCCAAGATTGTGCCACTACACTCCAGCCTGGGCAACAGAGTGAGATTCTCTCAAAAGAAAAAACACAGAAAACTCCGTGAGGCCTGGAAAAGATCCACCCAAAAGCAGTAGGCTGAACACTTCTTGGAGTTCCTGAAGGGAAGGGAATTGTGGAACATTCCACAGATTTGAAAGATCTAGGCTAGGTGCAGTAGCTCATGCCTGTAATCCCAACACTTTGGGAGGCCAAGGCGGGCAGAACACCTAAGGTTGGGGGTCCGAGACCATCCTGACCAACATGGAGAAACCCTGTCTCTACTAAAAATACAAAATTAGCCATGCATGGTGGCACATGCCTGTAATCTCAGATACTTGGGAGGCTGAGGCAGGAGAATCACTTAAACACGGGAGGCGGAGGTTGCAGTGAGCCAAGATTACACCATTGCACTCCAGCCTGGGCAACAAGAGCAAAACTCCATCTCAAAAAAATAAGATCTAATACAATTGGCCTCAGAGAAGGTGCTCAGAGAAAGTAGTCATAGCTCAGCAGTGGGGATATTAACCCTAGAGTAAAGGCTGTTCCTGGCCTATCATAAAGCTTAAAATAAGCCTCAGAAGAATCAAACTGATCACAAGTAACTTAAGTCTACCTTAGAATAAAATTTAGCACTGTTGAATACAACAAAATCCAGCACTCAACACGGTAAAATTTACCATGTTCAACATCTAATCAAAAGTTCTAAGGCATTTAAAGAAGCAGGAAATATAACAACAGGCCAGGCATGGTGGCTCACACCTGTAATCCCAGCACTTTGGGAGGCTGAGGCTGGTGGATCACCTGAAGCCAGGAGTTTGAGACCAGCCTGGCCAACATAGTGAAACCCCATCTCTACTAAAAATACAAAAATTAGCCAGGTGTGGTGGTGAGCGCCTGTAATTCCAGCTACTTGGGAGGCTGAGGCAGGAGAATCACTTGAACTCAGGAGGCGGAGGTTGTAGTGAGCCAAAATTGCACCATTGCACTCTAGCCTGGGCAACAGAGCAAGACTCCATCTCAAAAAAAAAAAAATTCTAGGGATGAAAAATACATTAAATGTCCATGATATTATAACAGAAAAGCAAAAAAGATCTTTGGTGACCTCTGAGAGAGTATCTAATAGTGGGGCGGGGCTAGGAGTCAGAATATAATGTGTGGAAGAGGGGTGTAGATGGAAAGAAGCTTTAAATGTGGACCACTTGTTTAGGAAGTTTGGTCATAAAAGGAAATTAAGAAATAAGACTGGGAAGGAGCCACAGTATCAGTTGGAGGACTTTTTTGAGGAAAGGACAGGGATACATGTGGCTTCATGATGGCCAAGAAAAGAGAACCAATGGAAGGAACTAACCCAAGGTGTTGAAGATGTGGGTATACCATCATGCTGAGGATGCCCTTGAGATGGGGAGGGGAGGTTTTGCAGGGACAGAAATAGGGACATCTGTCTCATTTGCTTATAATTCAATTTGTTTCATTCACGTGTCATAGACCTAGCAGCAAAACACTTTTCCAAATCTCTGCCTCTAGTGTAAAGAGCCCAGTTAGAGTCCTAAGTCTTGCCCTGATCTGGAGCATCAGCTCTGTGCCATAGTGCACGTCACTTAGGCTCTGGTGTAAGCCTCAGTTTTCTCATTAGTGAAATGGGGTTAACAATAATACTTACTTCAGAGTGTTGCTGCTCAGCTACTGGTCTGGAGGCAGTGTCTCTGGTGTGTTTTGAGTCTGGTCCATATGACAAGTGATGTCACAATGCCCTACTAGACTTCAGCTTCTCCACTAGGGAGTTGTAGATCCTTTGGAGCCAAGGACTCGAACAGACATGCGAGACCTCTACCAACTGAAGGTTTCATGAACACACTCCTTTGCCAAGATCTTGGTGAATAGTCTTTCACTGTGCAGTTGTATCTTAGAAATTGTTTTCCTTTTGATCATGATTGTGCTTGGCTGGATGCTTTTTGTTGGACTTGCATGTTACATGGGCACGTTTCCAGAATTAATGGTAAGTGACGGCTCAGCCTATAAATCCCTAGTGGTCAGTCCTGGTGCTGGCTCATCGTCCTTTCTTGGTTTTCTGACCAAATGGAAAAGATAGTTGAGTTCTCACCACTAACTGTAAGTCAGAATGTGATGGGAACAAAGTTAGTTTCCCAGGCATTTCCCATCCCACTGGAGATATCGTTTTATGTCTTTTTCCCCACTATCTTGCATATATAGCTGCACTTGTTTCAAGGCACTGTGGAATTTGCAAGGGGTCTGTTGGAGACTATATTTGACTTGTGGATTTCAGAGCAAGTGGCTCAGTGGTTGTTGGTAGAAAGGGGAACAGTAGGGATTGGTGGAACCTTTTAGCAGCCCTTCTAGTCACCACAGAGAGGTGGTTACCTACTGGGCCAATGAGTAGAGCCATCTCTGTCCTCGAATTTTCTTTCTGATTCAGCCTCCAACTCTGAAGTGGAAGGAGAGGTGGCCTGTTCAGGAGAGCAAGACACAGCTGAGGAGGCAGGCTTTAGGTGAAAATCTGCTGCAAGTAAGTGGGTGGTCAGGTCTGGTGGGCTGGATTCCTCCCTTTCCAGAATACTTGGTAGTACCCTGAAATATCAGTGATGAGTGTTTATTCCTCTGGAAAATATAATAAACTGTGGAAAGGGAAATGATTTGGTGAGTACTGCTGAGGACAGCAGGCCAAAGTTTTCTGTTAATAACCATGTCTCATAGGTGTTGTTTTTGAAGTCTGTTGCCATCTATTATTTTTTCTCCTCACAACACTGTAATATACTATTAATCGCATTCTTTTTTTTTTTTTTTTTTTTTTTTTTCTGAGATAGGTCTTGCTGTGTCTCCCAGGCTGGTGAGGTGCAATCAGTCCTCCCACCTCAGCTTCCTGAGTAGCTGGTACTCAGGCACATGCCACCAAGCCTGGCTAATTTTTTAAAATTTTTTTTGTGGAGACAGGTTCTCACTTTGTTGCTCAGGCTAGTCTTGAACTCCAGGACTCAAGTGGTCCTCCCACCTTGGTCTCCCAGAGTGCTGGGATTATAGGCATGAGCCACCATGCCTTGCCAGGACCAGCATTTTTAATATCCCTTTGGCAGATCCTGAAACTGGAGTTAACACTGAACTTGAGTTTAAGTCCTAACTTTGCAACTTACTAGCTATGTGACCTTGGGAAAGTTTAATTTATTTGAAACCTCAGTTTCAAAATTTCTTCTGTATAACAAGATAATCTGAGTATCTTACTATTTTTGTGAAGATGATATTTGAAAATTAATGTAAAGCATTTAATGCAAAGCTCAAAAATTAGCATTTAGTAAAATACTAACTTAACAACAAACAAATAATGAGCCAGTCAACAAAGATTTACTGGGGACAGTGACCTCCACTATTTACCCAAGGCCACACAAGCTAGCTCGCTGGTGAAGATGGGATGCAAGCACACCTTCACATCCCACCTTCTGGACTCTAGACTTAGTAGCCTCTCATACTCATTCCACTGGACCAGCCTGCCTACAGGAAACACCAATGGCATTACCCCTTTTAGCAGACCATCTCCTGGGTTTCTTACATTTCACCCCATTTCATTCAGACCTGTTTTGTAGGGCTGTTCCTATTGTTAGAGAAACTTAACTCAGAGAGATTTTGTTTGTTTGTTTGTTTTGTTTTTTTGAGACAGTCTTGGTCCATTGCCCAGGCTGGAGTGTAGTGGCACGATCTTGGCTCACTGCAACCTCCGCCTCCAGGGTTCAAGCGATTCTCCTGCCTCAGCCTCCTGAGTAGCTGGCATTATGGGTGTGTGCCACCATACTCGGCTAATTTTTTTTTGTATTTTTACTAGAGATGGGGTTTCATCATGTTGGTCAGGCTGGTCCTGAACTCCTGCCCTTGTGATACACCTGCCTCGGCCTCCCAAAGTGCTGGATTACAGGTGTGAGCCACCACTCCCATCCAGGAGAGTATTAATAATATACTGATTACAGGAGCAGAAGGTTTTTTGGAAACTACTCCAGAAGTTAGGGGTGTTCAGCCCCAGCCCCAGCCCCAGCTCCAGCCCCAGCCCCAGGTATACTAAGAGCGGAACATGATGGTTGGGTTTTTAAAAAAAGCCTCCATCTACCCCAGGATTTCTGTGAACACATTAGCCCAAAGCAGTCAGAACTTGGTGGCAGTCCTGACCAAACCACTTAAACTATTCTGTGCCTCAGTTTCTCCAGCTGCAAAATGAGTAAAACAGACAAGCCCATTTTCCTTTTCTTCCCTTCTCAGGAAAGTTGTAAATAGGCTCTCCCTACATGATAAGAGTTTTTTTTTTTTTGTTTGTTTGTTTTTTTGTTTTTTTTTGAGACGGAGTTTCGCTCTTGTTACCCAGGCTGGAGTGCAATGGCGCGATCTCGGCTCACCGCAACCTCCGTCTCCTGGGTTCAGGCAATTCTCCTGCCTCAGCCTCCCGAGTAGCTGGGATTACAGGCACGCGCCACCATGCCCAGCTAATTTTTTGTAGTTTTAGTAGAGACGGGGTTTCACCATGTTGACCAGGATGGTCTCGATTTCTTGACCTCGTGATCCACCCGCCTCGGCCTCCCAAAGTGCTGGGATTACAGGCTTGAGCCACCGCGCCCGGCCCATGATAAGAGTTTTAACTGCCATTTTATAAAATGCAAGATTTCTTTTTTAAACAGCCTAACAATAGCATGTGAAGTTAATTGCTCATGGCATACCTAGCCAGCTAATTCTCTTAATGAATCCAGGCTTTTTTACTTTTGCATAGCATCTGATTGCACAAAGCCAATAGTTAAACATATTGGCAGGTAATGAGTTAATGAGTGTGATGCCAGCTAGGTCCAAATCACAGATACACCAGAGCACAGGGCCCTTTTGATAAATATTCTTTAGCCCAATGCACCTGGCATCCTGGCCAAACAACCCATAGCTGTTCATGCTGACTGGGTTGCCAAGGTCACAGGAGCTGATGTCATAATTGGTGTCTGAGCTCTGCCCTGCTAAATGGCCATGAGGAACCACTTCAGTTCAGACTAGGCCACGAAGCTCCTTAGTGAGGAGCTGCCATGCTGGGCCAACCACCATCTGGTGTCTAAGAAAGACAGCCCAATTCCTAAGACTCAGGGAATAGAATACTGTACCTTCCAGAAGTACTTGTTTCTTCTTGGGCACACCACCAGCTAAGAAGCCTCATGATGATAGTTGTTTTATGGATGCTTCTCATTGCAGGAACCATGTGGAAGGGATATAAATACCCCCCAGGAGGGGTAAGTGTACTTTCAACCTTGTTCTCTATTCCTACTTTGAAATGTATTCCCACCCCCAGAAACAAACTAAGCATGAAAATCCAACTTTAGTAATATTAGAAACAAATACTTTTTTTTTCGTTACTGTAGCTTCTACTTGTATTATTATTCACAGTCGGAGTTGGGAGAGTTCCCATTTTCTTTCACATGATCTTTAAGGCCCAGAGTCAAGTTGGGAAACTTTGTCTCTGTTGTCCTTATGGATGTTTTCTATGCCCAGTCTTTGATGCCATTTCCTAGGGATCAGTCCACATCAGAAATCCAAACTTCGCTCTCCCACAAGTAACCACTAGTTTGTAAAAGGGTTCTGGTGGCAGATGTCTCTCTCCTCTCTCCTCCTGTTAGACCTTGGAACTTCTGTCTTTTCTCTGCCTCTTGTCACTCCCCAATGCTGAGGTCCCCTTGCAGCCAGGATCAGCACCTCTCAGAGGTGAGACAGAATTGGAGGTGGCCTCCCCTGCTGTCCTTGGCTTGGAGGCCAAATGCCTCAGCCCCACACTGGCAACCACTAGACCCACACGACACACTTTTTTTCCCCCACAGACCCCAGTGGAAGTAAGCACGGATGATCCTGGTGAAGTAATGCAGCTCTGAAGCTCACCTGACCAGCTGTACAGTTCCTGTTGTTGGTTTCGCATAAAGTAATTGCACATTATTTTGTCATATTTTATGTTAAGAAGTTATCGCACTTTTTTTTTTTTTTTTTTTTTTTTTGAGACGGAGTTTCACTCATGTTACCCAGGCTGGAGTGCAATGGCGCGATCTCGGCTCACCGCAACCTCCGCCTCCTGGGTTCAGGCAATTCTCCTGCCTCAGCCTCCTGAGTAGCTGGGATTACAGGCACGCACCACCATGCCCAGCTCATTTTTTGTATTTTTAGTAGAGATGGGGTTTCACCATGTTGACCAGGATGGTCTCGATCTCTTGACCTCGTGATCCACCCGCCTCGGCCTCCCAAAGTGCTGGGATTACAGGCTTGAGCCACCGCGCCCGGCCAGTTATCGCACTTTTTAAGATGAATGAAGACTTACTATTCTGTTAGCTTGTGACAGAGACAGTTGAGTGGATGGTATGCAGGTGGGTCCTTTTGCTACATGGTCTCTAAGACTGGCATTAAGATATCTAGTTCAGCTGGGCACGGTGGCTCTCGACTGTAATCTCAGCACTTTGGGAAGCCAAGGCAGGTGGATCATTTAAGTTCAGGTGATCCCCACCTCTACTAAAAATACAAGAAATTAGCCAGGGCATGGTGTGGTGACACGTAGTCCCAGCTACTCAGAAGGCTGAGGCAGGTTGCAGTGAGCTGAGATTGGGCCACTGCACCCCAGCCTGGCAACAGAATGAGACTCAGTCTCAAAAGAAAAAAAAGAACCCGAAGCTTATACCATGTGGGGACAGAACCTCATTTTTAATATTGGGGTTAGATACTAAAGTATAATTATCCTAATCCTTAAAATAATCTTCTGAAGCTGAGTATTAGCCTCATCTTACAAAATGGCAAAAATGAAGTTGAGGGTCATATCTATCTTGCCAACACACACAGCCCTGGGCTGCAGAGTCAAGATTAAGATCTAGGGCTTCTCCCTTCACACTTTCATGTGGGAAGGAAAAGAGCCAAACAAGAGACTCTGGGATATCTAAGATCTTGCTGTTTAAATATCTCCCTCACCTGAAAACCGAGTAAGTTAGGCCGAGCATGGTGGCTCACACCTGTAATTCCAGCACTTTGGGAGGCTGAGGCGGGTGGATAACTTGAGGCCAGGAGTTCTAGACCAGTCTAGCCAACATGGTAAAATCCCGTCTCTAGTAATCCTACAGAAATAATTAGCTGGGCATGGTGGCAGTCACCTGTAATCTCAGCTACTCAGGAAGCTGAGGCAGGAGAATCGCTTGAACCAGGGAGGCAGAGGTTGCAGTGAGCCAAGATCACACCACTGCACTCCAGCCTGGGTGACAGTACAAGACTCCATATTAAAAAAACGTGAAGAAAAAAGGAAATCCAGCAAGTTGCCTGATAATTCTTTTTCTTTTTCGTGACTACTGAAAAGACAGGAGCCTGAGAGAGACTTAACAGGAGTAAATACTTTAAAAACAGTATGGAACTGTACCCATTCTGAGGATGACTGATACCGTTCCAATATTCAAGAGAAGTGTATCTTTTCCAGCAAAGTAGATCTTTTGTTTACATAGAAAACATTTTGTTATTTGGGATGTTTGCTTAACTATTTGTAAGTAGCTCTTTGCAATGAATGGATTACCCTTTTTTTAATGGAAAGAAAATAAATTCAAAATCTGTAAGCAAAACTTTAGTAATTTCTGAATCTAGGATACTAGCATCTTCTATTTTTTTAAGTGATTTACATTCAACCCATTCCAGTGATTTAAGTACCTATGTCCTCTGGCTGTGCTCATTTGCCTCATACTTTTTTTTTTTTAAACAGTCTTGTTCTGTCACCCAGGATAGAGTGCAGTGGCACAATCTCGGCTCACTACAACTCTACCTCCCA